TGGTTCTGGATGTTCCCGTCACGCGGCCAGATCCCAGAAACCACAGTTCCAACCCCAACGCGGGGTACCGCAGAACTCTCAGCTACAAGTCATCCATCGGGATCACTTGCAAATGGTGACGATCCGATGGCGTTCGTGCGTATCATTGAGTTCATCTACTGCTACAGCATGAAATGAGATGAAGGTGAACGAAATGATGCCCCCAAGCTATTCCCGCAGGAATCCATGAGTAGGTAAAAGTGCGTGCGCTTCCTGGTATGGGGTGGAGCGTCGTTGGAACAGGGCTCCCCACCCCTCCCCCTGGTCCCCACAGAATGAAACAATCAATGCAACATGCAAAGCCGGTAGCAAGCGCGTCGGGGGTGACCCCGTTCCTGTACGTACAACAGGTTGCACACGCACAGCTGCAAATAGAGATTTCCAGCTTGCTTATGAAGCCGTTCAAGCTCAACTAACTGACATGATGACTGTTTCAAGCTGTGATTTTGGCGCCTGGTGCTGGCAAGTTTAGCCATTTAGCCTTGCACTTATCTACAAGCTCGCGCAGGCAATGACGATGGGCTCAATTAGAGCGGATAACCTAAAGTAATCCTCGAACCCTGCTGCTCGCAAATGTCCTCCAGGTACCCCGGCCACCTCATTTCCAGGTTGCACCTCCGCTAAGAAAAGCAACTGCTTTTGGCATTTGCTCAGCTCTTACAAGCTAATTCCGAAAAGTCTGCGAAATGGATACCTTGATTCTCGCAAGCTTGCGTCGTCGCATCCGTAGCCTCAACGAGTTGCGGCGGCGGCGGCAGCGGCGGCAGCAACAGCAGCAGCATGAGTCGTAGTTTTTGTCATTGTGGTATGGCCCGGTTCGATGATTGGTTGTTTGTTCGGACCGTGTTCCAGCGCATCAGGAATTCACTAGCTAGGTCAGTACTCCAGGCAGCCGGTGGCCCAAAATGAGCAAGTTTTTGGGAATTGCTCACCCTCAGCCTCTTTTCGCATGGTCTACCGTTTTGCGGGCTGATTGATGCACGAGTCCTACGTACTATGACCCGGCGAAAGATATTCCATCGGAGCAGGATGTCACTGGTGGGGCCGGTACTTTCTGATCCCCCGAACCAACCCTAAAACCTTCAACAAACCCAACTAAACTTTAAGCAGCCCAAAACCCAAACTCTCAAAAAACAAGCCAACCCTGAATCCTAAAGAGCCTTCCAAACCCAAACTCTGCACCCCACGCCCTAAAACAAAAACAAGTCGCCTCAGAAACCCCAAGCTCAAACCCTAAACAATCCCAAATCAAAAGCCCTAAACAGCCCCAAAGTCTAAACTTAACAAACCCGAATCCCAAACCCTAAATCTCGCAAAGCAACCCAAACCCTAGCCCGTAAAACCCAAATGCCCCAAACAAAACAAACCCTGCACCTTTAGCAGTTTAGCAACCCAACCCCAAAACCCGAATAGCCTAAACAATCCTAAACCGTAAAATGAGCTCCTATGCAACCCCAAACCGTAAACAACCCTACAGCCTAAACCAGAAGTCTCTGAGCAACCCAAAAACCCTCGTCTCTCAAAGCAAGCCGAAACCTTGAAGAGTAAAACCAAAACCACCCAAAAAACACCCTAAATCGTAAGGATCTCTCAGTAAGTGTGGACCCTAAGCTGTAAACAACTCCCAACCCCAAAGCCTAACAACTCTTAAGCAGCCCCATGCTGGAAACAACCCCCAGCCCCAAGCCCTGACATCCTTTGTAACACCAAACCCGACACCCTGGACAACCCCAAACCTTACTGCTTTGAAAACAACCCCACATTCTGACGAGGCAAGTGCAGATGCTCTGAACTCTAGACAGGACTCACTAGCACAATCAAACATGCATGAAAATGAATGAAGATTTGGATTCCAAAGGTATGCCAGACACTAGGAATGGCCTACCTGCAAAACAAAATGAGATGAATACGTTGGGGTGTGGGTCCTGCCCCGCTGAGCCAGACACTGGGAATGGCACAGCCTCAAGCTATTCCCGCAGGAATCCATGAGCAGGCAAAAGTGGGTACGTTTCCTGGGATGGGTTGGAGCTTCGTTGGAACAGGGCTCCCCACCCCTCCCCCTGTCCCGCAGAATGAAACAATCAATGCAACGTGCAAAGCCAATAGCAATAGCAAGCGTATCGGGAGTGAACCTGTTCCTGCATGTACAACAGGTTGCATACACACAGCGCTTCCAAGGGCGACAGTAATCACTTTGTCCGACGTTGCGCAAAACCAACAACTCATGGACCGGACCAGGACAAAACACACAACCTTCAAAAGATCCACACCGAGGAAGAACAGCAGCACAACAAGCGGGACCACAACGCCCAGACTACCAGCACAACAGCGCGTAGAACCAAAAAAATCACGTATGTTTTGTAACTAATCTAGCCAGACTCTAGCTAAGGGTTACGTGCTCTTCCGGAAGCGTTGGGAACTGCGGCTATGCTCTTGAAGGGGGGGACTCTGCAAGCCAACATCCAGCGTCTCCTTTTCTGGAATTGCACGCTACTCAGAAAAGGCTGGAAAGGCCCAAGAGGGACGGAGGCGCGGAGGGAACCACGCAGAACTGGCACAGGCATGCCGGCAGGCGGGGTGAAGGAAGCAAGCGAGGAACCAGCTCACTCACGGCTCTGCGAATGCGAGAACCGCATCAGGCCCGGGAGCAAGTCGGCGGAGGACGGCCCGGGCGTTCTCGCCAAGGCACTGAAAGCTGACTTCACACGAAAGCAGAAAGGTCTTCGTTGGTACCAGCCTTCTGCGATCCCCTGGCGCCATCTTCGTCATGATGGTCTATTCCACTTCAATGGTCTGTGTTGAAATTTTCAAAGGACGAAAAAAGATGGCTACCGTTGTGAAGACGAAGCCGTGCAAACTCTTCCTGTAGCTGTTCCATCCTGTTTCGGGTGGCTTGCATTCGAAAGCTGCAAGCATGCGTTCTAAACCTGCGGAGATCGAAGCTGAGAATTCACCCGGGCTGCCGTCCAAACTGGTTTCATCGTCCATGTCAACGTCATGTATGCAGGAACATGACGAGCACCGACCCCCTGCTGTCTCATGTAAAACTTGTAAGAAATTGAAAAGAAAACTCTTGGAGTTGGCAAGCACGGGGTACACACGGAGAAAGGGATTAACCATTACGGTTTCGAGCGATCGATCGATCGAGCGCCTAAATAAAGCGAATTCGGCGCCTGATAGTAAGAATGGGAACCGTAGGACTAGAACAGCGGCAGCAGCTCGATCCTGATAGCAAAACAGGGACTCGACTGCATGTACTGCCATGTGTGCACTGTGTGTTGAACCGAGCGCCTGAACATGTCATTACTGCAACTGAACATGTCTGTACTGCATTAGCTGTATGGTCCGCATGTCTGAACCGAACAGCAGGACATGTCACGACTGAAAGTCTTGCATTGAAGCGGTGAGCCACATGATGCCAAATGCATGGCAGTCAACTGTCATGTATGGACTGTAAAATCCTGATGAAGACTGATTTGGGGTAAAGGAAAAGCGCCCGACTTTCTTCGAGATTGCAAGCTGCGACCTAGGTCACCCATGCCAATCTCTGCATGTACGTTTGCACCCCTGTGTCACCAGGTCTTCGTTGGCCAGGACAGGTGATCACAGGTTCCTGGCCCCCTGCTGATCATGTATGATACCATGCATTAACCAGGCCCTTAGAATTGGCAAGCAGGGTGTACACGCACACACACTTGAAAGGTTTTCAACCCAACAAAGTTGAGTTGAAGGAGTCTCAGCTCCCAATCTGCATCAATGCAGTATTCAAAAGGTTTGTTGGAGGTCTCAACCTGTTATGGAATTTAATGAATCTGAACAAGGACCAAGTTGCTGCACCAAACTGACATGTCTGTAATTCTCCAAGTTGCTTTGCACTGCACCAAACTGACATGTTTGCACTTCTCCAAACTAGTTCTAGAATAATTACAGGGCACTAGTGGGAGCAACAACAAACCGGAACTGTACAGCGTAGTAAGATATGAAAACGATATCACACTTTAGCAATTACAGGAGTCGGCGTCCCAATGCAAGACTTGCATTGTCCCTTGCGCCCCTTGCTAATACTTTGTGATCCTTGGAATTTCGGAGGTCCCACACACACACACACCCTACACACCGCCAAGCACCTTCAAACCCCAAACCGCACACAAGGGCAAGCCCTGAACCCTACCTCGCCGTTACCCTGAGCGCTAAAATCCTTACGTGAGCTCTGCGCGTAATCAAAATCATGCGGAGGTTGGCGGGGATTGTTCGGACCAGCAGAAAATGCTTAGTGTCACCACGATTTTATCACGTGATCTTTGCATTGAAGGCTGTGCGATTCATAGTTTCAGCCTAGCGAAAGCTCTTGGGCCATGGTCCTTACTTGCCCTTATGATTCCTTAGGTCGCCATTTCGCAAGATCTGCCGCATGTCTGGATTGGGCCGCATGTCTGGATCAAGCTGACATTAGAACGCGCCTTTGCAGACCGAAGAGTGACTGCCCTTCCAAAAGTTCGGCGCATGTTCAGTGCAGTGCTTTGAATCAGAGCTTTAGCAACCCTATCTTCAGAGGTCTAGCTGGAATAGCTGGACAAGCTTTATTCCGCTTGTTGACTTTCGCCTGTGGCTTTAAACGTTGCAGACGCTTGTAGTGGACATGACTCAATCTAAAATACAACTGTTTACCTCTACCCCTCAATCGTAAGCCCTGAGCCAGATATCCACATAAATCCTGGGCAATTGAAACCCCACCACCTTGCATTCCTCAACTACAAATCTGGATGCTGGATCAAACCTGCAAGCGCGTCGGATAATCCGCGACGCTTCATGGAAGATGCGCTGCCCCTGCCGACTGACAGGCCTCTCGAGGGGGAGGCGCCATGGGGTTTGGCAGGGAATAAAACTTCCAGCTTTGTGCCATTATCAGCTTTTGCTCAGCTGAGGTGCTGCATCTGCGTCATGAGTGTGACTTGGGCATCTTCAACTGAAGGCTGTTTTTGGACTAGCTGAGATTTGTTTGAACCTTGAAGTTTTCTCGACTTTGCCGAAGTCGGTTCCAAACCCTCAAACGCTGCCCAATGCCTTGCTGAAAGAACGAACGCACACACCATATGACACCCACAAACCCTAAGTCCAGATGATTGTGCCCTATCTCTTTCGTAACTGCCCCCTTCGTCATAAGCCCCGTTTGCCACCTCACGAACAATTGTCGACCACAGTTCTGAGGTTGTTGTCCTGCAGCTCTTCGAAAGGCGGCAACTCACGATGCCCTTTGCCCCTGACTTCTCATCTTGGCTCCTGGGAGTTTTTTCAGGCTCGCTCTTTTGGTATAGCCGATGTTTGTGCTGTGGTGGTGGTGGTGGTGGT